TTTTCCTGTTTAGTTATGGCCTTATACAGCTCATTGAGTGCAATCTTAATGCCAGCATTGGTTTGTTGGTGGTAAATAGACAGCTATGAAAAATATAGATGAAAACTCTCTTGGTAAATAGTGTGGTCTACAGTTTATCATAAGATACTCTACCTCAGGCGAGCAAAACCTCGAGACTTCCTTAGTATTTGATTTTGTGCACCAGCTGTTGTTTACAAATATACACAGACCGCCACACCTTGTCTTACCGGAGTCAGCCGTTCTATCCTGCCGATGTAGCGTATAGCCCGCTAGCTGTGTGTTGTCCATGTCGTCGTTTAGCCACGACTCTGTGAAACATAAGATATTACAGTTTTTAATGTCCCGTTGGTAGAATAAGCGTAATCGTAGGTCATCTAATTTATTTTCCAATGATTGAAGATTGGCTAATAGGATTGATGGAAGAGGCAGTTTACTCGCTCGCCGTCGGATCCTTACGAGTCACCCTGACCTACGTCCACGATATCTCCGTCTCTTTCTCCTGCGAATGACGGGGATTTGGGCCTTTGCGTCCGACTCGTTGAAGAAAAAATATTTGTCCAATACGAGGTGAGTAATCGCTGTCCTTATATCCAGAAGCTCTTTTTTGTTATAAGAGACGATAGCAGAAACATTATGTACAGAATAAATTACAAAAAATGCGAAAAAACACAAATAATATTACAATTGGTTAGAGGGCTGTAAAACGGCAGACATCTTCTCCGGCGCCATTCAATGTTGTGTGCAGATTGCTGAGGAAATGGTTTTATTTAATCAATTTTAGAATAAGGCTGTAACGTAACAAAATGTGGAAAAAGTCAAGGGGTCTGAATACTGATTGCGCGAAGTTGGGAGCAAGGGGAAGTGGAAAGAAAAAAGATGGCGGAATGATGATTACATTTTTTACATTTTAGTCTTTTAGCAGACGATCTTATCCAGAGTGACTTACAGGAGCAATTAGGGTTAAGTGCCTTGCTCAAGGGCACATCGACAGATTTTTCACCTAGTCGGCTCGGGGATTAGAACCAGCGATCTTTCGGTTACTGGCACAACGCTCTTAACCACTAAGCTACCTGCCGCCTGATGAAGTGGATTCTGAATCTAATGGCGGTAGAATCAAGGAGAATTGAATATTGTCCAAAAGAATGGAAAACGGAGCAAAGTAGGGTACAGTGAAGAGAATGTCAATTCTTATATTGTAGGAGTAAGGTTTGTAAATGAGGAGCAGCTGATAGAATTACCAGTCTTGAGGAATCCATTTGAGATATCCAAACTGGTGGAGAGAGTACGGGGTAGAGTGAAGGCTGTGAGGATCACGAGAGGCGGGCTTGTTTAGATTTTTTGTGCTTCTGCGGATCAGAGTCTCACCCGATTTGATAAGTTTGAAGTGTCGTGTGTGTGTCTTAGGAACAGGGCACCCCTCAAGGGGGTTATATCTGGCGTCTCGTGGAAAGTCAATGTTGAAGAGATGAAAATATTCCTGGAGTGATTGATGCACGTCGGATGAATCGTGTGGTGAATGAAGAAAAATAGTTTAATCAGTTCTTTTGTTTTTTGATATGGAGTCTCTCCCTACTCAAGCGCAGTTAGGGTATATTAACTACAGAGTCAGAGCATTTATCCCAAGACCAATGCAGTGTGATCATTGTAAAGCTTTTTGTCATGTTTCAAGTGTTTGTAGAAGGGAGAAGCCGAGATGTCCAAGTTGTGGAACATATCATATGTGTTATAAAAGTGATGAAAACGTGACATGTTGAAATTGTGGTGGGAACCATGAAGCCACGTCTTTCGAAAGCCCAACAAGGGTGAAAGAGAATGAGGTGGCCAAAGTCAGGGCTGTCCAGAGCATTTCATATGCAACAGCTGTTAAAATGGTTGAGGGTTTGAATGGTGCACCTGAAGAGTCCATGGTGGTGGATAGGCCTTCACTGCAGGCTGCAGGGGTTGCCTTTCACCAGCATGATCCTGACATTTTAAAGGTTAAGAAGGTGGACTTTGTGGCCTTTATAGCTATGGTAATTAATGGCACTGCCAAGGTGGAGAGAAGGTCCAGGAAGATAGAAATCATTGTGGAAGCGGCGGAGTGGTTCCTGGGGCTGAAAGATTTCTCGGCAAAGGAGTTACATGGAATATTGTCACAAGCTGTACCACCCTCTCAGGTCCTAGAGCCTGTGAAGGGAGATATGGAGAATTGAAAGAAGGAAGAAGGAGAGTTTTGTTTGTTTTGGCAATGTACTATTTTTATTTGGGTGGATTAAGTTAGTTTCTCTATTATGTATGGATTTTTTATTTATTTTTTACCTTGTTTTGGTTTCAACCCGTCCAGTTGGTGGCGGCAATACACCTTTTTGGGTTGTAGTCTGCAATAAAACCCACAGAAGAAGGGGTCTGAATACTTTCTGAAGGCACTGTATAGTGAGGTGGGAGCTGGTTCGGAAGACATTATTCCAAGGAAGCAAATATATTTGAATTATCATGCAGGTCATTGGAATAGAATAGAATTTGAATATATAAATTATATTTAGTTATGTACTGGTACTTGACTTAGAGTTCAGTGTGTCAAATCGGAGGGCCTGTTGTCTGGACCTATGGCAGTCTCTATGGGGGTACCACAGGGTTCAATTATTGGGCCGACTCTTTTCTCTCTGTATATCAATGATGTCGCTCTTGCTGCTGGTGACTCTCAGATCCACCTCTACGCAGACAACACCATTTTGTATACATCTGGCCCTTCATTGGACACTGTGTTAACAAACCTCCAAACAAGCTTCAATGCCATACAACACTCATTCAGTAGCCTCCAACTGCTCTTAAACAATAGTAAAACTAAATGCATGCTCTTCAATCGAACGCTGCTGGCACCCGCCCACCCGACTAGAATCACTACTCTCGACAGGTCTGACCTAGAGTATGTGGACAACTACAAATACCTAGGTGTCTGGTTAGACTGTAAACTCTCCTTCCAGACTCACATTAAGAATCTCCAATCCAAAGTTAAATCTAGAATCGGCTTCCTATTTCGCAACAAAGCCTCCTTCACTCATGCTGCCAAACATGCCCTTGTAAAACTGACTATCCTACCGATCCTTGACTTCGGCGATGTCATTTACAAAATAGCCTCCAACACTACTCAGCAAATTGGATGTAGTCTATCACAGTGCCATCCATTTTGTCACCAAAGCCCCATATACTACCCACCACCTCTTGTTGGCTGTTCCTCACTACAAATTCATCACCAAACCCACTGGCTCCAGGCCATCTATAAATCACTGCTAGGCAAATCCCTGCCTTATCTTAGCTCATTGGTCACCATAGCAACACCCACCTGTAGTATGCGCTCCAGCAGGTATATCTCACTGGTCATCCCCAAAGCCAACACCTCCTTTGGCCACCATTCCTTCCAGTTCTCTGCTGCCAATGACTGGAACGAATTGCAAAAATCTCTGAAGCTGGAGACTCTTATCTCCCTCACTAACTTTAAGCATCAGTTGTCAGAGCACCTTACCGATCACTGCACCTGTACACAGCCCATCTGAAATTAGCCCACCCAACTACCTCATCCCCATATTGTTATTTTTTTGCTCATTTGCACCCCAGTATCTCTATTTGCACATCATCTCTTGCACATCTATCATTCCAGTGTTAATACTAATTGTAATTATTTTGTACTATAGCCTATTTATTGCCTTACCTCCATAACTTGCTACATTTGCACACACTGTATATATATTTTCTGTTGTATTTTTGACTTTATGTTTTACCCCATATGTAACTATGTGTTGTTGTTTTTATCGCACTGCTTTGCTTTATCTTGGCCAGGTCGCAGTTGTAAATGAGAACTTGTTCTCAACTGGCTTATACCTGGTTAAATAAAGGTGAAATAAAAATTTTTTTACTATTGACCCAGAACCCTATGAAAATCGGTGCTTCAAGCCCATGTCACCTGTGCAGTCTGTTGGCCAGTCCTATGCTGCTTCAAAAAGTGCAACAAAATTAGGCTAAAACAGAGAAAGTTAATTTAGGAAGGAATTATAGGTATTAATTCAAGAAACAAATTAGTAATAAACATTTTCTTTAGCCTCGCCTTAGTGCTTTCTTTGTCAAATGACGCCACGAGCTAGCCAAACCCTCGTTTTCCAAACCAAACATCTTCATCGACCGCTGGTCCACCTCCGTCTGCTTGATGATTGACAATAATGGCGACGCTTTTATTCTGAGTGTACTTCTGCGAGCCATTTGACAAAATAAATACATTTGAGGAAGAAATCAAATACACATGACAATAAACGCAGGTACATACGAAGCAGGAAACAATTATTCCAACAAAAAAAGGACTATGCTACGCTAGCTGGCTAATGTTACTTAAGTTGTGGAGGTGGCATTCTTGCGGAGGCACAAGGACTAGCTAGCAGCTAACAAAGATCTACAATTTCGTGACGATGTGGCTACTTTACAAGCTCTTGGGGTGACACTTTCTTGTGATCTTGGGACGAAAAACTGAGACATACCAGTTATTTTCACAACGTTGCAGAAGAACAGCTTGTGGAGTGAAAAGTGCGTGCCATTCAACAGCTTACTTTGGCAGCTAACGTGAGCCAATTGCTAGCTGGCTAAGCTAGTGAGTTCGCTTGGCGTTGTTTCCTAGTTCACTGCGTTGTTGTTTTATCTAGTTCTCTAGCTAAACATATGATATTCACATTACGATACATTTGACTAGCAATGTATCTTTGCCTTTGTAGCTAGCGTGTGTCTGCTATCTTGTTTTGGAACTTTACAGTAAGCAGGCTAGCCACACAGCCTAGCGTGCTACTTGCAAACTAACAAGACTGAGATTGCTAACTTGTGTTTTTCTGGACAACAGAACAGACCGATTTCGCGTTGTAAAATTATCCTGCTAAACACGGGTAACGTTAATTAGCAAGCTAACATATTCTGCTAGCTGGCAATTATTTGTTTGTGTTATTTGCGAGACCTTTTCGTAAATGACTACCGGCAGGAATAACCGTGTGATGATGGAAGGAGTTGGTGCGAGAGTGATCCGTGGACCCGATTGGAAATGGGGGAAACAGGATGGTGGAGAGGGACATGTCGGCACCGTCAGGAGTTTTGAAAGTCCGGAAGAAGTGGTTGTTGTCTGGGATAACGGGACTGCGGCCAACTACCGGTGCTCTGGTGCATACGACGTGAGGATATTTGACAGTGCTCCTACAGGTAATGTTGCCCTTCTGGTTCTGTGATCCCTAAACATCTTGTATCCTGTTTTGTTCGTGTTTCAATTAGCTTATGCATTTGAGTGTAGATATGTACGCTACACAGTTATTTGGCTACCACGTTTCAAGTATTGTAATGCATCAAGCGTGTTAGCTACATGGAAGCGGCTAGTAAGTAAGCTGAACTCCATACATATAATATGGAGTTGAGTTTATTCAAATAAGCACCTTTGATTAGAAATAGGCCATAACGGGCTGCGATATCATTAAAGTAAAGAGTAAATAACTTTTCACTGTGAAAGTTTAGCCCTAGTCCCTAAAGCATGCCCACTTTTATACTGAACAAAAATATAAACGCAACATCCAACAATTTCAAAGGTTTGAGTTAGACTGTTACAGTTAAAACAGCTCATATAAGGAAATCAGTCAATTGAAATCAATTCATTAGGCCCTAATCTATGGATCTAATCATCTTGTGTCCCCAGCACAAGGTGCACCTGTGTAATGATCATGCTGTTTAATCATCTTCTTGATATGCCACACTTGTCAGGTAGATGGATTGTCTTGGCAAAGGAGAAACACTCACCAACAGGGATGTAAACAAATTTGGGCACAACATTTGAGAGAGAAGCTTATTGTGCGTATGGACATTTTTTGGGATCTTTTATTTCAGCTCATGTAACATGGGACCAACACTTTACATGTTGTGTTTATATTTTTGTTCAGTGTATTTAGTGTTAGTGAATGATGGTATAAAGATGGCAAGTTGAGTGACCCCAGATCCTCGGGCAGAGGGATAATTTCTTAACACGTCAAATTAAATCAAGTCATAATTGAATTGATTTGACGTGACACCTCTGTCCTCTAACAGTTTCCTAACTGCCTTGTTAACACTCCCTCTCAGGTATCAAGCATGACGGCACCATGTGCGACACCTGTCGTCAGCAGCCTATCATCGGGATCCGCTGGAAGTGTGCCGAATGCAACAACTATGACCTCTGCACCACCTGTTACCACGGAGACAAGCACCACTTGCGACATCGCTTCTACAGGATCACTACCCCAGGTAGCGAGAGGTGAGTACTGTCCGCTGCCCCGTGAAGCCAATGGTTGCGTTCCAGGACATATTTAATGCAGTCATGTTTCGCGTTGTGAGATCTGGGGTGTATTCCTTAAGCAGATTCGGTTGCAAAACGTTTTGCAACCGAGAGTTTACTCCAAACGGAAAACATTTTACAACAAAAGCAAGAGTCCCTCCATGTTTCATTCCGTTTGCTCTGTTTGCTTCCGTTTGGTTTTTAAACTGTAAACGGCTTCCGTTGCAAGATGTAATGAATGCACCTCTAATTATCTGCACAATATGACCGCAACAAAGGTAACGGAACACACGCCCAATGCGTAGGGATGCTTTTTATCAACTCAGTCCCACCACTATGACAGAATCTATGGTTTAGTGATGAGTTTAATGATAACAGTTCTGATCTTCATCCTTTGGTTGGTTATATTGAGGGACCCACCCATTTTACCCTCCATTCTGATGTTTTCTGTTCCTACCTGGCTGTCTCTCTGTGATATTTGAGAAGTTCCTGAGCCCAGCCTCATAGGCAGACTCAACATGTGGCAACCGATCCTGTCTCTCTGTTGCCAGGCGACTGCTCAGCCTCTATTTCAGAAGCAGTGATGTTGTTGGGGCCTCCGCCAATCCCATGTTACTGGCCATGTGTCTGTTTTTTATTTAAATTAAATTTTCATTTAACCTTTATTTAACTAGGCAAGTCAGTTAAGAACAAATTCTTATTTACAATGACGGCCTACACCGGCCAAACCCGGACGACGCTGGGACAGTTCTATCTGCTTCCATTGAAGATTTACAAGTAAAATACCAAGCACAATTTCCAAATCAAAACAACAAACCTGTCACACACACACACATATATATATATATATATATATATATATATATATATATATATATATATATATATATATATATTATTTATTTCAACTCCTAACATTTAATCATAGTAAAAATTCCCTGTTTTAGGCCAGTTAGGATCACCACTTTATTTTAAGAATGTGAAATGTCAGAATAATAGTACAGAGAATTATTTATTTCAACTTTGATTTCTTACATCACATTCCCAGTGGGTCAGAGGTTTACATACACTCGATTAGTATTTGGTAGCATTGCCTTTAAATTGTTTAACTTGGGTCAAACGTTTCGGGTAGCCTTCCACAAGCTTCCCACAATAAGTTGGGTGAATTTTGTCCCATTCCTCCTGACAGAGCTGGTGTAACTGAGTCAGGTTTGTAGGCCTCCTTGCTCGCAAACGTTTTTTCAGTTCTGCCCACAAATGTTTTATAGTATTGAGGTCAGGGCTTTGTGATGGCCACCCCAATACCTTGACTTTGTTGTCCTTAAGCCATTTTGCCACAACTTTGGAAGTGTGCTTGGGGTCATTGTCCATTTGGAAGACCCATTTGCGACCAAGCTTTAACTTCCTGACTGATGTCTTGAGATGTTGCTTCAATATATCCACATAATTTTCCTTCCTCATGATGCCATCTATTTTGTGAAGTGCACCTGTCCCTCGTGCAGCAAAGCACCCCCACAGCATGATGCTGCCACCCCCGTGCTTCACGGATGGGATGGTGTTCTTCGGCTTGCAAGCAACCCGCTTTTTCCTCCAAACATAACGATGGTCATTATGGCCAAACAGTTCTATTTTGGTTTCATCAGACCAGAGGACATTTCTCCAAAGAGTACGATCTTTGTCCCCATGTGCAGTTGCAAACCGTAGTCTGGCTTTTATATGGCTGTTTTGGAGCAGCTGTGCAGCCTTGCAGGTTATGTCGATATAGGACTCGTTTTACTGTGGATATAGATACTTTTGTACCTGTTTCCTCCAGCATCTTCACAAGGTCCTTTGCTGCTGTTCTGGGATTGATTTGCACTTTTCGCACCAAAGTACGTTCATCTCTAGGAGACAGAATGCGTCTCCTTCCTGAGCGGTATGACGGCTGCGTGGTCCCATGGGGTTTATACTTGCGTACTATTGTTTGTACAGATTAACGAGGTACCTTCAGGCGTTTGGAAATTGCTCCCAAGGATGAACCAGACTTGTGGAGGTCTACAATTTTGTTTCTGAGGTCTTGGCTGATTTTCTTTTGATTTTCCAATGATGTTGAGCAAAGAGGCACTGAGTTTGAAGGTAGGCCTTGAAATACATCCACAGGTACATCCACATGTCCTTACCGACTTGCCAAAACTATAGTTTGTTAACAAGAAATTTGTGGAGTGGTTGAAAAACAAGTTTTAATGACTCCAACCTAAGTGTATGTAAACTTACGACTTCAACTGTATATGTATATATGTGTGTGTATGTGTATATGTATATATGTATGTGTGTGTGTGTGTGTGTGTGTGTATAATATATGTGTGTGTGTATGCGCGCCAATCTCAGTTAAGTAATCCACTGCAGAGGCCTAGACTAAAAGGCAATTAATGCTTGATCCGAAAATGTGGTCGGAGGCTGCATATGGAGGGTGTGACGCAATTGCGGAGCCTCCAGAGGCATGCAGAGGCCAAATCGAGCTCAGTACTGCATGGCCATGCGCCTCCCACATTTTATTAACAATGCGGAGGGCTCTGTATAGCTCCGCATTGACATGATTGGTTGACGGTAGGTGGGGGTTCCTTGACAACTTCCTTCACGACAGCTCTGCACTGCTCAGCGAAGCGCAAGAAGTATGAATGCCCTGATTTCTGCTGATGCCGTATCACTGTCAGATTGACCATGTGCCCATAAACATAATGCACTTCTCTCTCCAGAATGCGCTCTCTCCCGCCAATTTGTGCACATTCATTGTTTCATAGCTTCATTGTGTGAATTGTTAGTGTATATCAATTCCCCATGATATATATCACAAGTAGTACATTTACCGTTAATGCCTATAATAGTTTTTTACATTTTAGTCATTTAGCAGACGCTCTTATCCAGAGCGACTTACAATTAGTGAGTGCATACATTTTTCATACTGGCACCCCTTGGGAATAATTTCTAATCTACAATCTTTGTTACTTTGGTTACAGTAATTTTTGTTAATGCATTTCATATTATTATTCTAGTGTTACCGTTGTCATTGTTGGAGTGGACAGATTGTTTGCAGCGCGCACAACCTATGCTACACTTGTGAATAACATATTTTGGTTGATTTCATTCCATTTACGAGTTGTCAATTTAGTCGTCTTTTATTTGGAGCACTCCTGTCAATGTTGAGTAAGTACGCACAAGCATAGAAGTAGGCCTATAGGCTGCCTGGCCTGCGCGCAAATGTAGGCATATAAATGTGCCCATTTGGGGATCTGCTAGTATTTCTGATTGGCTTAACGCACCACCACTAATGAGCTGTGGAGCTTCTCAAAGTAATATTTTCTTCACTTAAACAGCAAGCAAACAAAGTCTGTTTTAACATCCACTGAGAATGACAATAATTCCTCAATGTATTTGATAACCACTCGGCGTGAAAGGGGAAAATGTCATGATCTGATCCAGTGGAAACGTCATAAAATAGGCCTACCTGGGCTCCCGAGTGGCGCAGCGGTCTAAGGCACTGCATCTCAGTGCTTGAGGCGTCACTACAGACCCCCTGGTTCGATTCCAGGCTGTATCACAACCGGCCGTGATTGGGAGTCCCATAGGGCGGCGCACAATTGGCCCAGCGTCGTCCGGGTTTGGCCGGTGTAGGCCGTCCATTGTAAATAAGAATTTGTTCTTAACTGACTTGCCTAGGTAAATAAAGGTTAAATAAAATAAAATACTTCTGGACTGAAATAGGTTCAGGTACTCATTTTGGGTGCTGGTATTGTTTATATTTAGGTGCAGGAGCGCCACAATACATTTGAGCTAATACTCTATAAGAGGAATAGAACATTTAAGGTTCTGGTACTCCGCTCCGGTGAGCTCCTGCCCAAGTCAAGCACAACTTCTTATCCCTTGCGTAAATGGCCTACAGCTGTCTGTCCCGAGCTCACTGGCGCAGGAAACTCTCAGGGCCCAGAATTTTTTAAACAATGTTGCGTGTTTGCTAGCACAAGCATCAGGCCAGACCCAAGTTAATAATTGATAGAATGTTTCAAGTTCGTTGCAGACATGCCATGCATAGGCAATGTGATTTATAAGATATTTATTTTTATTAGAATATTTCTACCTGCAAGTTTTTATATGTTAGCTTTATAAAGCGTCAGACAAGCTGAAAGCATATAGTCCATTTTAGTTAAAAACATAGGGTTTGTCTATATATGTAAAAATACACGTTTAAAAATGTAGACTAATCAATTGGTCGAAAGAAAAAACGACTTTCGGTCGACCAATTTTATTTTATTTTATTGGGGACAGCCCCACATTGCGAACAGTATGTTTGCTTGCCATAGCAGTCACTCCATCCGCTTCAAGCCCTTTGTGAGATTCAAAGGGACAAACCAAACGCATGGCGCAACAGCTGGCACCTTTTCAAGGACGTGTAACCTCAGTTCCCCTGAGACAGTTATTGCATGGCTGCAAACAAAGGCAGCAGGGGGGTCCCCCCCCCCACAGACACTGCTCTGAACTGAAGGCATGGTGGACTGTTTTGTTATGCCACATTAGATTCTTTCACGGACTGTGGGAGGGGGCGGGGGGAGTGTCCCCAAGACAGCAGTCTGTTTGCGTTGGTTAGGCCTACAGTGTCCAGCTGCTCTGTCTTGTTGTCTAGCCTCCAGGACTCTACTGTGGTTAGTTAGACCACTGCCAAGTAATTTATGAGGCTGTGGCTTCTCTCTTTACCAATTACCAATAAAGGAGCCTGGATGCATGAGTCGTCAGTCAAGTAATGGCAATGCTATGGAACAGACATTCTCATGATACATGGTACTATACTTTTCCATAGTATTGTATGCTGTTCATTCTGTTAGTTAACTCTCATTAGACAAACAAAGTGTGCAATGGATAACCCAGGATGACCCAGAGTCTGAAAGATGCATGCCAGCAACTAATGAATCAATGTACACTATATATACAAAAGTATGATGACTACCCTTCAAAATAGTGGATTTTGCTAGTTCAGCCACACCTGTTGCTGACAGGTGTATAAAATCGAACACACAGCCATGCAATCTCCATAGACAAACACTGGCAATAGACGGCCTTACTGAAGAGCTCCGTGACTTTCAACGTGGCACCGTCAAAGGATGCCACCTTTCCAAGTCAGTTCGTCTCATTTCTGCGCTGCTAGAGCTGCCCCGGTCAACTGTAAGTGCTGTTATTATGAAGTGGAAATGTCTAGGAGCAACAACGGCTCAGCCGCAAAGTGGTAGGCTCACAGAACGGAACCGCCGAGTGCTGAAGCGCGTAGACATTTGTCTGTTCTCTGTTGCAACACTCACTACCGATTTCCTAACTGCCTCTGGAAGCAACGTCAGCACAATAACTGTTCGTCGGGAGCTTCATGAAATGGGTTTCCGTGGTCGAGCAGCCGCACACAAGCCTAAGATCACCATGCGCAATTCCAAGCGTCGCCTGGAGTGGTGTGAAGCTCGCCGCCATTGGACTCTGGAGCAATGGAAACGCGTTCTCTGTAGTGATGAATCACGCTTCGCCATCTGGCAGTCCGACGGGCGAATCTGGGTTTGGCGGATGCCAGGAGAACGCTACCTGCCCGAATGCATAGTGCCAACTGTAAAGTTTGGTGGAGGATAAATAATGGTCTGGGGCTGTGTTTCATTGTTCGGGCTAGGTCCCTTAGTTTCAGTGAAGGGAAATCTTAACGCAACAGCATACAATGACATTCTAGACGATTCTGTGCTTCCAACTTTGTGGCAACAGTTTGGGGAAGGCCCTTTCCTGTTTCAGCATGACAATGCCCCAGAGCGAGGTCCATACAGAAATGGTTTATCGAGATCAGTGTGGAAGAACTTGACTGGCCTGCACGGAGCCCTGACCTCAACCCCATCGAACACCTTTGGGATGAATTGGAACGCCGACTGCGAGCCAGGCCTAATCGCCCAACATCAGTGCCCGACCTCACTAATGCTCTTGTGGCTGAATGGAAGCAAGTCCCCACAGCAATGTTCCAACATCTAGTGGAAAGCCAGAAGAGTGGAGGCTATTGTAGCAGCAAAGGGGGGACCAACTCCATATTAATGCCCATGATTTTGGAATTGGATGTTCGACAAGCAGGTGTTCCCTTACACTACATGACCAAAAGTATGTCAGGCACCTGTTGACCCAGTAGACAAGCGCCCCTAGACCCCCATATGAGGCAAGGAGCCACAGCCTATTTATTATTTTGAAGTGCTGGTGATATTCAGGTCAAAGACAACACTTTTTCCAGTTGGAATTTGGCCTATATTAGGTTTAACACAAATAATTGTATATTTTTCTGAATCAGTTCCTCCATCTTTTTTTGTATGTCCGTAGACACTGTGGATTAGGCTACTTCCAGGTAGGGCTGTGACAGTCTTGGAATTTGAGGTCATGGCTAACATACACGGACACTGACATAACCGTTGGGGAGGGTCGGCGCATACCAGACTGAAAAGAAACCCGTGGCTTTTCTCTGCCACTTATAATAATATGCCATTTAGCAGACGCTTTTATCCAAAGCGACTTACAGTCATGTGTGCATACATTTTTTACATATGGGTGGTCCCGGGGATCGAACCCACTACCCTGGCGTTACAAGCGCCATGCTCTACCAATTGAGCTACAGAGGACTTACCATTACACTTTATTATCAGTAGCTTTTCATTATTATTATTAAAGTTATTACCTCTAAATATTGGTCTAGTATTCAAATTAAGAAATGTCAGATTGAAGAGGAATTCCGAAAAAATACAGATTCCTATTTTGATGCACTAAACCGTTCACATAAAGTCCAATGCGTTTTTCCCTCTACTTTTCAGGACAATTCGCATTACGTCACCAACGCTGCTGCGGTCATTCTCCGTGGCAATATGTTCAAAGTGGCTAGAGAGAACGCAGTAATGAGAGAATCATATACTACTGGAAAGATAATATGCTACTGAACATATTAGGATAAAGACTATGCATCCTATAGGATGAATCATGAAAGGTGCTTGGCTACGTTTCATTCAGTTGCACCCATTTAATAAGAGGAAACTGAACTGGCACCTGTCGTCATTTCTCACACATATGTTGACCCTGCAATCTGATTAAAGAGATGAAGTCCAGACGGGCTAGGCCTATTTTAGGAAATGTTCTGAATGGACATAGAGAATTAGTGAACTCATACACGCGTACCCACCCAACAAGAAGGACCTATCAATTAAAGCCGCCTGCAGCGCATCTCACTCAGACACATAAGCAAATCACTTTTGTCCTTTCCCAAAAACGTATTAAAAACCTTGCCTTAGCTTCAAATCCTTTCTTTAGGATAAAAAAAAAAAACTACATTATTTGGATAATGCTAAATCAATGTAGCCTATCCTATAAATTGACAAGGAAAGTTTTTAAGGGGGATATATAGAGACAGCTGTGATAGGCATGAAGATGAAATTGACAACCATTCGAAAATAGAAACGCATACACGCAACCTGTCCATAGCAACCTGTCCGTAGCCTAATGATCTGCCAACCTGTCCGTAGCCTAATGATCTGCCAACCTGTCCGTAGCCTAATGATCTGCCAACCTGTCCGTACCCTAATGATCTGCCAACCTGTCCGTAGCCTAATGATCAGCTGTTGAACAATTATATTGAAGCAATGGGTGGTTATGTTGACACTACATTTTAATTTGAGTGCTTTATCTAAATCTGTGCAACCACTTATTGATAAGGGTCAACTCTGGCGGATATGTTTTTCTGTCTTCTAGGGTTGCCTGTAGCACACACAGGTGGTTACCTAGATTCACTTTAGCAAGCCTAATATATTATATAGGCTACACGAATGATGCATTAATATATTAACTTTTAACTTACATCGGTCGTGTTCACTGTTCCCTTCTTGCGCAATTCACGCGTCTCCGCTGGCAACTCCACTGGCCTATCTCTTCCCCCTCTCTCTAGCTCTTGAACGAGTAGCCTATATATAGACAATGAACAGCAATATAGTTTGAAACGTACAGTATTTCGAGCAATTTTTTAAAACGAATAGGCCTAGGCCTATTCGAGGAGAGAAACATTGATCGATCCTCTTGCTTGCTGAATGGTTATAAAATAGGCTACAGCGTTGGCAATGAACTGACGGGGAAGTTTGAATGACGAGAGCGATTTGTAGTCGAACTGGTGTGATGTGATCATATCTGCTAAATTGATACCTTGTTGCACGGATGCATTGCAAACGTAAATAACAGGCAGAGAGAAATTAATGAATTAATTCACACAACGAACCCACAGACCTGTCAGTGGCAGTGTCCCAGATAACACTTTTTTTGGGTCAGTAGTTTATTTTCACATGTGAAAAGATGCTAAAAGGTCTGAATAAATAATTGACGGATAGTGGCAGGACAATATTTCACAATTGGTGTGAACGGCGTCATAAACAAGACGTGTTCGTGTAAAAACAAAATCTTCCTAATTGTTCAGACGAAAATAACGGACTTGGTGAGAAAGGGCCTTTATTGAAAATAGGCTTTTTACAAGATTTAAATCATGACAGGAGCGTTTGAGTCTTATTAAAGAGATAATCCAGACAGGCTACTTTAGGAAACTTTCTGAATGGATTTATAGGCCTATAGAGAGAATCAGCGAACTCACACACGCACACCCCTGTAAAGGACCCGTAAATCAAAGCCACCAACGTACACTGAGTGTACAAAACATTAAGAATACCGTCCTAATATTGAGTTGCACTATTCTTGATACACACGAGAAACTTGAGCCTAAAAAACCTAGCAGCGTTGCAGTTCTTGACACAAACCGATGTGCCTGGCACGTACTACCATACCCTGTTCAAAGCCACTTAAATATTTTGTCTTGCCCATTCACCCTCTGAATGGCACACATACACAATACATGTCTCAATTGTCTCAAGGCTTAAAAATCCTTCTTTAAGCTGTCTCCTCCCCTTCATCTACACTGATTGAAGTGGATTTAACAGGTGACATCAATAAGGGATCATAGCTTTCACCAGGTCAGTCTGTCATGAAAAGAGCAGGTGTCCTTAATGTTTTGTACACTGTGTCAGACACAAGACAATATTTCTCCTTACAAAAACCTAGGCCAACCTTAGGCTTTCCGAAAGTAGGCTACAAGATAATGAATTGACGGGTAGAGAGACAGCTAGTATGAAGATGAAATTGACAATCATTAAAATAGAAACAAATACAAGCAATATGTCCATATACAGTTGAAGTCGGAAGCTTACATACACTTAGGTTGGAGTCATTAAAACTCGTTTTTCAACCACTCCACAAATTTCTTGTTAACAAACTACAGTTTTGGCAAGTCGGTTAGGACATCTACTTTGCATGACACAATTAATTTTCCAACAATTGTTTCACTTATAATTCACTGTATCACAATTCCAGTGGGTCATAAGTTTACATACACTAAGTTGACTGTGCCTTTAAACAGCTTGGAAAATTCCAGAAAATGATGTCATGGCTTTAGAAGCTTCTGATAGGCTAATTGACATAATTTGAGTCAATTGGAGGTGTACCTGTGGATGTATTTCAAGGCCTACCTTCAAACCCAGTGCCTCTTTGCTTGACATCATGGGAAAATCAAAAGAAATCAGCCAAGACCTCAGAAAAAACATTGTAGACCTCCGCAAGTCTGGTTCATCCTTGGGAGCAATTTCCAAACGCCTGAAGGTACCACGTTAATCTGTACAAACAATAGTATGCAAGTATAAACACCATGGGACCACGCAGCCGTCATACCGCTCAGGAAGGAGACGCGTTCTGTCTCCTAGAGATTAACGTACTTTTGTGCGAAAAGTGCAAATCAATCCCAGAACAACAGCAAAGGACCTTGTGAAGATGCTGGAGGAAACGGGTACAAAAATATCTATATCCACAGTAAAACGAGTCCTATATCGACATAACCTGAAAGGCTGCTCAGCAAGGAAGAAGCCACTGCTCCAAAACTGGCATAAAAAGGCCAGACTACAGTTTGCAGCTGCACATGGGGACAAAGATCGTACTTTTTGGAGAAATGTCCTCTGGTCTGATGAAACAAAAATAGAACTGTTTGGCCATAATGACCATTGTTATGTTTGGAGGAAAAAGGGGGTTGCTTGCAAGCCGAAGAAAACCATCCCAACCGTGAAGCACGGGGGTGGCAGCATCATGCTGTGTGGGTGCTTTGCTGCAGGAGGGACTGGTGCACTTCACAAAATAGATGGCATCATGAGGAAGGAAAATTATGTGGATATATTGAAGCAAGCAGTCAGGAAGTTAAAGCTTGGTCGCAAATGGGTCTTCCAAATGGACAATGACCCCAAGCACACTTCCAAAGTTGTGGCAAAATGGCTTAAGGACAACAAAGTCAAGGTACTGGAGTGGCCATCACAAAGCCCTGACCTCAATCCTATAGAAAATGTGTGGGCAGAACTGAAAGTGTGTGCGAGCAAGGAGGCCTACAAACCTGACTCAGTTACACAAGCTCTGTCAGGAGGAATGGGCCAAAATTCATCCAACCTATTGTGGAAGGCTACCCAAAATGTTTGACCCAAGTTAAACAATTGAAAGGCAATGCCACCAAATACTAATTGAGTGTATGTAAACTTCTGACCCACTGGGAATGTGATGAAAGAAAGAAAAGCTGAAATCAATCATTCTCTCTAGTATTATTCTGACATTTCACATTCTTAAAATAAAGTGGTGATGCTAACAGACCTAAGACAGGGAATTTTTACTAGGATTAAATGTCAGGAATTGTGAAAAGCTGAGTTTAAATGTATTTGGCTAAGGTGTATGTAATCTTACGACTTCAACTGTACTATTTATCAGCATTGATTTAGTCTATAAATGAAGAAAATATTTTGTATCGAATTATATATACCATGCCGGGTTGGATAGAATTGCCGCGTTGTTCAATTGACACATTTGTCGACTACATGAACAACCTTGTCGACTACTGTTGAATAATTAATGAAGTCAGACACATCCAACCTGTTTTAAAAGAACACCTATTTATTTACTATCAAGCAATGAAAACGTACATTGTATATAAGAAAGTCTACACATCAAACTATTTTTTTTTACTGAAGTGCCATAGCCTATAGACGAGCGCTTCTACACCCCTGCGCATCTAGCGGATTAGCTGCTCGAGCATCAAAAGACAGTTGGAAAGATGTAGACAGACTCATTTAGCAAAACAAGGCCTATTTAAACAGGTTTTTTATGGTTATTTTAATTTCATGGTGGTGTTCATCCATAACCGTCAGTTACACGGTTATTCAATACTGTCACAGCCCTACTTCAGAGTACCCAATTGTTGTGCTGGCAATGGCATGTAGAGTTAGTTTTTAAGGACTGCCATGATGAAACATGAAGTGAAAAGCCTTTGTTGGTGTGGTGTTGCTCAGACGATTAGACAGGGCCATCTGGCAAGCCAACTGCACGGCTCACTGTCATGGTAATGCTTCAGGCTGTTTTTATGGCTAGCAAAGCATGGTTTTTGATCCCCATCAAAACGGTGAACGTTATAGTGAGCGGTTAAACATGTTTGCTTAGGGGCTCCTCTGAAATCCAGTCAGCAGCTCTACTTCATCAAAAGATGGAGTTGAGGAGTCTTGATTTGAGGTTGTTGACACCTCTTGAAAAATTCTACCTAGCTAACGTTAGTGACCAAAGGTGCTCAGTTCTTGAGAAGGTCTAAAATGGCATATCAACAACATTTATTTTCGGCTAATAACAGTGAATGAACATTTCAATGACTGATATAGATAGCCTATCTATGATTGAGGTATACTAACACATCAACTGCATGATTTGCCAATAGGTCTTTCAATGCCACCATAAATAAATGGCTAACCTTGGCCTCCCGAGTGGCACACTGCATCGCAGTGCTGGAGGCGTCACTACAGACCCGGGTTCGATCCCGGACTGTATCACAACCGTCCGTGATCGGGAGTCCCATAGTGCGGCGCACAATTGGCCCAGCGTCGTCCGGGTTAGGTGAGGGTTTGGCCGGGGGGCTTTACTTGGCTCATCGCGCTCTAGCGACTCCTTGTGGCGGGCCGGGCACCTGCAGACTGACCTCGGTCGTCAGTTGAACGGTGTTTCCTCCGACACATTGGTGCGGCTGGCTTCCGGGTTAAGCGGGCGGGTGTTAAGAAGCGCGGTTTGGTGGGTAATGTTTCGGAGGACGCCTGACTCGACCTTCGCCTCCCGCGCCCATTGGGGAGTTGCAGCGACGATACTAGATCGAAATTGGGGAGAAAACGGGGGTAATAATACTAAAATATAAATGGCCAACTTTATCCAGTATTGGTTACATATTTCCAACGTTCACATCCATCTAATGACAACTTCTGTTATTCACCCACTAAGTCAGTAAAATAAATGTGTTTATTTTGACAGAGTCCTGTTGGAGTCTCGCCGTAAGTCGAAGAAGATCACAGCCCGAGGTATCTTCACCGGTGGCCGGGTGGTGAGAGGAGTGGACTGGCAGTGGGAGGATCAGGATGGAGGCAACGGCAGGAGAGGAAAGGTACTCGTTTTGTTGCTACGGTGTGCCCATTTTATCTTGACCCTGTACCTTGTTCAGTAGGGCATGCTGTAGGAAAATGTTTTGCAAATGAACACAGAAATCTGTGTTCTTAATCAACCGCCAATAAGATTTTTTGATGACCCAGGCTTCTCATCAAATATGAAATGTATTACTATGATAGTTTGGGATTTTATTAGGAACCCCATTATCTGTTGCGTAAGCCGCAGCTACTCTTCCTGGGGTCCACACAGAACATGAAACATGACATAATACAGAACATTAATAGACCAGAACAGCTCAAGGACAGAACTACATATATTTAAAAACGGGACACAAAGCCTACATGTCAATACATACACACAAAATATCTAGGTCAAATAGGGGAGAGGCGTTGTGCCGTGAGGTGTTGTTTTATCTGATTTTTTTAAACCAGGTTTGCTGTTCATTTGAGCAATATGAGATGGAAGGGAGTTCCATGCAATTATGGGCTCTATATAATAATGTACCATTTCTTGAATTTGTTCTGAATTTGGGCACTGTGAAAAGACCCCTGGTGGGGTAAGTGTGTGTCAGAGCTGTGCGTAAGTTGATTACGCAAACAATTTTGACTTTTCAACACATTAATGTTTCTTATAAAAATAAGTGATGCAGTCAGTCTCTCCTCAACTCTTAGCTAAGAGAGACTGGCATGCATGGGGATGTTCTGGTCCAGCTGCAGCTTAACTAGGTCTTTCTTAGCAGCACTTGACCACATGGCAGGATAAGAATCAAGATAAGACTAAATTAGAGCCTGCAGGACTTGCTTTGTGGAGTGGGGTGTCAAAAAAGCAGAACATCTCTTTATTACGGACAGATCTCTCCCCATCTTTACAACCATTGAATCTATATGTTTTGACCATGACAGTTTACAATCTAAGGTAACGCCAAGTAACTTAGTCTCCTCAACATGTTCCAACAGCCACACCATTCATTACCAGATTCAGCTGAGGTCTAGAGCTTAGAATATGGGAATGATGAGTTTCTGATTTCATCATTGGGTCCAAGAAGGTGATAAACATTTGTGTGCATGCCTGCATTGATGGGTGAGAAGGAAGTGTGGGGAACAGCCAATGAGTTGGAAAAGTTCCTTAGTTCTAAAGAGAAATGGCATCACTGGTTGGTTCTGTCCCAGTCCGTCCCCTACCTCTATGTTAGTATAATTGCGAACAGACATGCAGATTTCCTCACCGCAGAATACATCTCAAGAGGTTGAATTTTTTTAGCAGGTAGATTTATAAAGGGAACGGCTCTATAAAGATCTAGTAGCTTGACTCAGTTCTATACCCCAGTATTCAATTTAAGATTCCCCATACGAAATTTAAAGGGTTCATTTTGCTGTGTTATTTAAATGCCCAGTGCAGTAAAAATTTAGTTTTTCCTGTGTTTTGTATCATTTTGTAAAACAGCTGATGAAATGAAAACTAAAAGTGTGGAAAGAATTTGATCAGTGTGATTTCCTGATAGTTGCTTGTTGAAAATACAATCTATACAGGACCTTCTAATCAGCAGGTTTGCATGGGTGGGAGTTTCGGCTTGTCTGGTGACGTCACCAGGCTGTAAATTGGTTAATAGACCAATAACAAAGAGTTCCAAACTTCCCTGCCAATAACAGCTAGTTTTCCGTTTCCCTCCCAGACAGTCCTAGCAAAATTCTTGCTTGAGAAATAGTTTTTTCCTTAAAAGCTATTTTTGTCCATTTTAATGGAACACTATTACAGTAGCTTAAGGTACTTAATTGTTACCCAGAAATGATTTGATATCGATATACACATTTTCATGTTATATTTACTCCATTCTTTCTGCTCTTTAAGCCTATTCTGTTGAGTGACGTTGCATATTCAAATCAAATGTATTTGTCACATGCGCCGTATACAACAGATGTAGACCTTACCGTGAAATGCTTACTTACAAGCCCTTAACCAACAATGCCGTTTTTAAGAAAATAGAGTTAAGAAGATATTTACAAAATAAAATAAAGTAAAAATAAATAAAACATAACACAATAAAATAACAATAATGAGGCTATATACAGGGGGTACCGAGTCAATGTGCGGGGTACAGGTTAGTCGAGGTAATTTGTACATGTAGGTAGGGGTAAAGTGAATATGCATTGATAATAAACAGCAAGGAGCAGCAGTGTAAAAACGGTCCGGGTGGCCATATTATTAAATGACATATCATGATATTTATGTGACATTATTTGTTGATGTGCCAGAAACGCACAGAATCAATTTGACGTTATAGCCAACAGATTATTAACCAAGAGGCATGCCTTTAGAATGATTCTTAAATGGGAATGCCTTGGCTAACTCCTTCACTCTCTTTTCATCTCTCCTCTTCTCTCCTTCTTCCTCCCCAGGTGACAGAGATCCAGGACTGGAGTGCAGCCAGCCCACACAGTGCAGCCTATGTCCTCTGGGACAATGGGGCCAAGAACCTCTACAGAGTGGGCTTCGAGGGGATGGTGAGTAAAGCAACGCACACACAAATGATCAGGTGGTCTTTGTGTTTGACTGCTGAGCTGGGGCTCTTTGTAATGCTGCCAGGCCTTTGTAGTGGAGAGCCACGCAGCCAGGGCCCCATTGTGGCAGGCAGCTGGAAGGAGGGAGGGAATCTACATGAGAAAAGCAATCTGTTCCCTTCTTTCTTTATGAGGAAGAGAGTGAACACAGAGGTCAGCTTCAGGGGGAGGAGGGGTCTTGGGGTCCCAACACGAGCCACAAATGACAGGCAGTGTGCTGATTGGTGGAGAACACTCCTGCTTTTTTATGAACGCTGACAATCGGAGAGCTGGGTTGTGTAACAGATTTGTCCTTTGTTATTTTAATACGTCTGGTAGGATTGAGGGGTTGAGGTAGACGACATCTGCTTCTGGATTAACTAAAGCATGGATTATATATGCTGCTCCCCAAAAATAATGGAAGACAACAGCCTCTGTGCCTAAACTGGCCAAATCTACAGTGAGGGGAAAAAAGTATTTGATCCCCTGCTGATTTGTACGTTTGATAATTTCTTTGTCAGTGGGCAATCTATAATTTAAATGGTAGGTTTATTTGAACAGTGAGACAGAATAACAACAAAATAATCCAGAAAAACGCATGTCAAAAATGTTATAAATTGATTTGCATTTTAATGAGGGAAATAAGTATTTGACCCCTCTGCAAAACATGAATTAGTACTTGGTGGCAAAACCCTTGTTGGCAATCAGAGGTCAGACATTTATTGTAGTTGGCCACCAGGTTTGCACACATCTCAGGAGGGATTTTGTCCCACTCCTCTTTGCAGATCTTCTCCAAGTCATTAAGGTTTCGAGGCTGACGTTTGGCAACTCGAACCTTCAGCTCCCTCCACAGATTTTCTATGGGATTAAGGTCTGGAGACTGGCTAGGCCACTCCAGGACCTTAATGTGCTTCTTCTTGAGCCACTCCTTTGTTGCCTTGGCCGTAGGTTTTGGGTCATTGTCATGCTGGAATACCCATCCACAACCCATTTTCAATGCCCTGGCTGAGGGAAGGAGGTTCTCACCCAAGATTTTACAGTACATGGCCCCGTCCATCGTCCCTTTGATGCGGTGAAGTTGTCCTGTCCCCTTAGCAGAAAAACACCCCCAAAGCATAATGTTTCCACCTCCATGTTTGACGGTGGGGATGGTGTTATTGGGGTCATAGGCAGCATTCCTCCTCCTCCAAACACGGTGAGTTGAGTTGATGCCAAAGAGCTCAATTTTGGTCTCATCTGACCACAACACTTTCACCCAGTTCTCCTCTGAATCATTCAGATGTTCATTGGCAAACTTCAGACGGGCATGTATATGTGCTTTCTTGAGCAGGGGGACTTTGCGGGCGCTGCAGGACTTCAGTCCTTCACGGCGTAGTGTGTTACCAATTGTTTTCTTGGTCACTATGGTCCCAGCTGCCTTGAGATCATTGACAAGATCCTCCCGTGTAGTTCTGGGCTGATTCCTCACCGTTCTCATGATCATTGCAACTCCACGAGGTGAGATCTTGCATGGAGCCCCAGGCCGAGGGAGATTGACAGTTATTTTGTGTTTCTTCCATTTGCGAATAATCGCACCAACTGTTGTCACCTTCTCACCAAGCTGCTTGGCGATGGTCTTGTAGCCCATTCCAGCCATGTGTAGGTCTACAATCTTGTCCCTGACATCCTTGGAGATCTCTTTGGTCTTGGCCATGGTGGAGAGTTTGGAATCTGATTGATTGCTTCTGTGGACAGGTGTCTTTTATACAGGTAACAAACTGAGATTAGGAGCACTCCCTTTAAGAGTGTGCTCCTAATCTCAGCTCGTTACCTGTATAAAAGACACCTGAGAGCCAGAAATCTTTCTGATTGAGAGGGGGTCAAATACTTATTTCCCTCCTTTTTTTTTTTTGTCCTTTAGCAGACGCTCTTATCCAGAGCGACTTACAGTTAGTGAGTGCATTCATTATTTTAAATTTTTTAATTTTTCATACTGGCCCCCCGTGGGAATCGAACCCACAACCCTGGCGTTGCAAACGCCATGCTCTACCAACTGAGCTACATCCCTGCCGGCCATTCCCTCCCCTACTCAGGACGACGCTGGGCCAATTGTGCGCTGCCCCATGGGTCTCCCGGTCACGGCCGGCTACGACAGAGCCTGGATCATTAAAATGCAAATCAATTAATAACATTTTTGACATGAGTTATTCTGTCTCTCACTGTTCAAATAAACCTACCATTAAAATGATAGACTGATCATTTCTTTGTCAGTGGGCAAACGTACAAAATCAGCAGGGGATCAAATACTTTATTCCCTCACTGTATATGTTATACGGTGTATATTGATGTCCTGGTCATTGGCCAACCTGGCTGTTAGTGTTTATGTAATCTGTTACTTTTTACACTTTTTGTAACACTTTTTCAAACACATTTAATATTATTATTATTATTATTGATAATCAAAGACTGCAAACAAGCACTGTGGACATGGTGAAAGACACTGCATTTTTTGTGCACACGATCAATGTATTTTCACTTTTTTTTCTTGAGTATTTTGGTTCAGATGGCATCAAAAGTCCACAGTCTAGTCTCTTGGCTTCACACATTTAGCAAATAATATTTCTTCTCATTTTACATTTTTCCTCAATGTCTTTTCTTTTTTCAAAGAAAAAAGAAAAGACCACATTTAAGTTAGTTGATTTCACACATCTATAAACACGGTTGCATTCCAAATGGTATCCTATTCCCTTTATAGTGCACTACCTTGACCAAAAGTGGTCAAAAGTAGTGCATTATATAGGGAATAGGGTGCCATTTGGGGGTGCAACCACTGTTTGTGAACCCTGCTCTGTCAGAGGAGCAGTATGGCTGTCTACTATGCACTGCCTTGTAATCAACATGGCTGCCCTCTGTCTATATGCCACAGTGGAAGCCCATCCGCATCTGAGTCATTACAAATGATATGATGCAGTTCCTTCCCTGCCGAGCCAGAGCTTTGTAATGTAGTGCTTCCATATCCCTTCAGAGCCTTGAGGGTAATGCTATTGTTGCCACCCTGCCCTAACTTTAACACAATGTCACACGGCATGTCACTGCAGTCGGAAAGAAGTGTGATTTTACTCTGTCGTCATTAATCTGCTGTACTTCTGATAGATTGAATTAAGTAGATAATTAGCTGATCCTTAGTTCCCTGTCTCTCCCTTTCAGTCGGATTTGAAATGTGTCCAGGATGCCAAAGGAGGGTCTTTCTACAGAGACCACTGCCCTGTTCTAGGTGAGTACAGTACTAGTGATCCGTGGCACTACACTACACTACCGTCATTATTGCACCAATTCCTCCCCAGCACAGCGTTCTGCAGTGGAGTCCAAGGGCATCAGGAGCGCATCACTGCCTGGCTGCTGTTACTGGTAGTGTCCACTAGGTGGCATCACCACACAGATACTGACAGTACCAGGCTGCATGGAGACAGCTTGGGTGCAGTCATGGGCCACACTGGCACAGTGTTCCCACAATCTCAAGGATTGTGTCTTCTCTCAGATTTTCCTGGCCAGTGATACCTGGGTTGTGTTTAGCACACGATGCAGCACTTCAGCAACCAAATAAACTCCTCTAGTTTAATAGCAGTAATCACAAAAGGCTCTCCGTGATCAGTTTTGTCCACCCTATTTTATCGTAATGAGACTAATCTACATAAAGTAAATAAGAATGTGTAACCAGTATGTATTCCACCTGCTCTCTCCCCACAGGTGAGCAGAATGGCAACAGGAACCCAGGCGGTCTGCAGATCGGAGACCTGGTCAACATCGACCTGGACCTGGAGATAGTCCAGTCCCTGCAGCACGGCCACGGAGGCTGGACAGACGGTATGTTCGAGACCCTCACCACCACCGGTACCGTGTGTGGCATCGACGAGGACCACGACATTGTGGTGCAGTACCCCAGTGGGAACAGGTAAGCTCTTATCAGGTCATCATTCAGACCAGTGCACAAGCACAGTCCAGTCATAACACATCTTCTGTCATAACAAGAGTAGGACATGGACTTCATCTATTTGGCCTAATGAAAGATATTTATGACACTAATTTCCATGTCATAGGGGCCACCTCAAATAAAGTGTGTGTGTCCCCCCCAGGTGGACGTTCAACCCTGCGGTGCTGACCAAGGCCAACGTGGTGCGTAGTGGGGAAGGTGTTGCGTCGGGGGCGGAGGGTGGCAGCTCCCAGTTCCTGGTGGGAGACCTGGTCCAGATCTGCTACGACATTGACCGCATCAAGCTGCTGCAGAGAGGACATGGGGAGTGGGCTGAGGCCATGCTGCCTGTAAGACACACTCACACATGCGTTTCCTTTGTCAGCAAAACGTCCTTTTTCTTTCACCTCTCACCTCCCACGTAACAAGGACAGTATCACCTGGGTGTATGTAATGACTACGGCATAGTCTATTGTGATTTTGGTCTAAAAGTCTGTAAATTGGCATAATCGTGGATAGTCATTGCTTCCTCTCATCAAACTGTATCTAACGTCACGCTACAATCTGCCAACACTCCATTAAAACCAACACCCCCAGCAGCTAACAAGCCCTAAAACACAGTGATCAGTACCTACTGTTGTTGCTGCTGCTTCCCCCTCCCTCCCCCTCAGTTCTGAGTGATCACTGGAGCCTCCTGGAGTGGGACTAATGTCCCGACTTTAAACTAGGCGTAGTGCCTTTTCTGCTCTTTAGTTGACTCTCCAAATGAAGCGAATCGAGTTGCAGACCTGCTAATGAGTGGTACTCAAATTACATATGAATCTCTGCGACACTAGGCTGGAGAAGTTTGTGTAGGAAAGATGGCTGCCAATGAAGCAATGTATTGGGCATGCATTCTATTTGGTATACTGGTGTTTATATACTGTAACGTAGTGTTAGTCTGTTTCAATATCCACATTAGCATAGTACTCAGAATGCATATCGGATACATTAATTGATTCTATCTAGTATGCTGGAGACCGTGGATATTGGAACGTAGCCTCAGACTTATCAAAATGCCTTTCCTTTCCTCACTCAAAAACTTGAAAGACATCAACAATGTCCCAGATAATTGGCTGTGTAGATGAGAAATAAGTCTGGCTCTCACTCAGCCCTTCAACTGCCCTTTGAATGAATAATCAGAACAGTGCTTTAGACTCATCTGTGATTATGCTTTCCTGTCATGTTTTTGGAAAGGAAGGGCCGTATCTGTTTCTGAAAGGGGAACGAATGGCTTTCTAGAAATTAAATACAGACACACATCTCTTTTTGGTTTGTTCCCCCCCAATTTTTGTTTTTGTTTTCTATACTTTAGTTATATCACAGATAATTTAACCTCCCTGTGTAAGAGACACTAGAATGCTGAAAGGAGGTTCAGAATTCCCTTCAATAATCTTTGGTACTTAAAACAGATTCTTTTTCTGAGAAAGCTCCTTCATCAGTGCTCTGGTTAGTTTTTAGAGACAAACTAACAATGATTCTCTTAACAATATGGTGTGTTTATGCTCTTTGAGATTGTAATAAAAAATGCTATAGCAATGTAATGAATGTATTGTTTTCCTCAGACCCTGGGAAAGGTGGGCCGTGTGCAGCAGATCTACTCGGACAGCGACCTGAAGGTGGAGGTGTGCGGAACGTCATGGACCTACAACCCTGCTGCTGTCACCAAGGTGGCCCCCACTGGCTCCGCTGTCACCAACGCCTCCGGAGGTAGCAGGACACACTCACACTCACACACACACACACACACACACACAGTGTGTGCACACTGATACACAGACCATAAACCAGTATTATTTTCCATATCTGCTGCTAGCCCGTTTATAAGTGGGCATGCACATACACTGGCCCCTCTTACACACCACACACATTCTTCACTCATTTGATCTAGAAGATGACCCCCTTGTAATGTTGTTCTCCTGTGTGTGTGTGTGTGTGTGTGTGTGTGTGTGTGTTTGTGTTTGTAGAGCGTCTGTCTCAGCTGCTGAAGAAGCTGTTTGAGACCCAGGAGTCAGGTGACATCAATGAGGAGCTGGTCAAAGCAGCAGCCAATGGCGACCTGGCCAAGGTGGAGGACATCCTCAAGAGACCTGACGTGGACGTAAGTGATCTCTTCATTCAACACAGCTTCAGGCTTGATAGAAGATGTCTATCAAAGTTTAGTCCCAGGGCGCTGTATTTTCCCCCCCGAAGATATATATATTTATTGCGAATTGAGATGGCAAAATTATGATATATAGTTATTTTTATTTAACCTTTATTTAACTAGGCAAGTCAGTTAAGAACAAATCCTTAATTACAATGACTGCCTACACCGGCCAAACCCGGACGACGCTGGGCCAATTGTTTGCCGCCCTATGGGACTCCCAAACACGGCCGGTTGTGATACAGCCTGGAATCGAACCAGGGGGTCTGTAGTGACGCCTCAAGCACTGAGATGCAGTGCCTTAGACCGCTGCGCCACTCGGGAGCCCATATAAAGAGATTACTCCAGTTAATCCTTCAGAGTCCATTGACAGAGCGGTACGTCAATCTATAATGAACAAAAATATAAACGCAACATGCAACAATTTCAACGATTTTAGTGGGTTACAGTTCATATAAGGAAATTTTGTCAATTGAAATACATTCATTAGGCCCTAATCTATGGAATTCACATGACTGGGCAGGGGCGCAGCCATGGGTGGGCCTGGGAGGGCATAGGCCCAACCACTTGGGAGCCAGGACCAGCCAATCAGAATGTTTTTCCCCCAAACATTTTCTTTTTACAAACAGGGCTTTATTACAGACAGAAATACTCCTCAGTTTCATCAGCTGTCCGGGTGGCTGGTCTCAGATGATTCCGCAGGTGAAGAAGCTGAATGTGGTGTTTTTATGTATGTATGTATGTATGTATGTATGTGTGTGTGTGTGTGTGTGTGTGTGTGTGTGTGTATACAGTGAGGGAAAAAAGTATTTGATCCCCTGCTGATTTTGTACGTTTGCCCACTGACAAAGACGTGATCAGTCTATCATTTTAATGGTAGGTTTATTTGAAAAGTGAGAGACAGAATAACAACAAACAAATCCAGAAAACCGCATGTCAAAAATGTTAGAAATTGATTTGCATTTTAATGAGGGAAATAAGTATTTGACCCCTCTGCAAAACATGACTTAGTACTTGGTGGCAAAACCCTTGTTGGCAATCAGAGGTCAGACATTTCTTGTAGTTGGCCACCAGGTTTGCACACATCTCAGGAGGGATTTTGTTCCACTCCTCTTTGCAGATCTTCTCCAAGTCATTAAGGTTTCGAGGCTGACGTTTGGCAACTCGAACCTTCAGCGCCCTCCACAGATTTTCTATGGGATTAAGGTCTGGAGACTGGCTAGGCCACTCCAGGACCTTAATGTGCTTCTTCTTGAGCCACTCCTTTGTTGCCTTGGCCGTGTGTTTTGACAGTACATGGCCCCGTCCATCGTCCCTTTGATGCGGTGAAGTTGTCCTGCCCCCTTAGCAGAAAAACACCTCCAAAGCATAATGTTTCCACCTCCATGTTTGACGGTGGGGATGGTGTTCTTGGGGTCATAGGCAGCATTCCTCCTCCTCCAAACACGGCGAGTTGAGTTGATGCCAAAGAGCTCAATTTTGGTCTCATCTGACCACAACACTTTCACCCAGTTCTCCTCTGAATCATTCAGATGTTCATTGGCAAACTTCAGACGGCCCTGTATATGTGCTTTCTTGAGCAGGGGGACCTTGCGGGCGCTGCAGGATTTCAGTCCTTTACGGCGTAGTGTGTTACCAATTGTTTTCTTGGTGACTATGGTCCCAGCTGCCTTGAAATCATTGACAAGATCCTCCCGTGTAGTTCTGGGCTGATTCCTCACCGTTCTCATGATCATTGCAACTCCACGAGATGAGATCTTGCATGGAGCCCCAGGCTGAGGGAGATTGACAGTTATTTTGTGTTTCTTCCATTTGCGAATAATCGCACCAACTGTTGTCACCTTCTCACCAAGCTGCTTGGCGATGGTCTTGTAGCCCATTCCAGCCTTGTGTAGGTCTACAATCTTGTCCCTGACATCCTTGGAGAGCTCTTTGGTCTTGGCCATGGTGGAGAGTTTGGAATCTGATTGATTGATTGCTTCTGTGGACAGGTGTCTTTTATACAGGTAACAAACTGAGATTAGGAGCACTCCCTTTAAGAGTGTGCTCTAATCTCAGCTCGTTACCTATATAAACGACACCTGGGAGCCAGAAATCTTTCTGATTTGAGAGGGGGTCAAATAATTATTTCCCTCATTAAAATGCAAATCAATTTATAACATTTTTGACATGCGTTTTTCTGGATTTTTTTGGTTGTTATTCTGTCTCTCACTGTTCAAATAAACCTACCATTAAAATTATAGACTGATCATTTATTTGTCAGTGGGCAAACGTACAAAATCAGCAGGGGATCAAATACTTTTTTCCCTCACTGTGTATATATACAGTGGGGAGAACAAGTATTTGATACACTGCCGATTTTGCAGGTTTTCCTACTTACAAAGCATGTAGAGGTCTGTAAAATTTATCATAGGTACACTTCAACAGTGAGAGACGGAATCTAAAACAAAAATCCAGAAAATCACATTGTATGATTTTTAAGTAATTAATTTGCATTTTATTGCATGACATAAGTATTTGATACATCAGAAAAGCAGAACTTAATATTTGGTACAGAAACCTTTGTTTGCAATTACAGAGATCATACGTTTCCTGTAGGTCTTGACCAGGTTTGCACACACTGCAGCAGGGATTTTGGCCCACTCCTCCATACAGAACTTCTCCAGATCCTTCAGGTTTCGGGGCTGTCGCTGGGCAATACGGACTTTCAGCTCCCTCCAAAGATATTCTGTTGGGTTCAGGTCTGGAGACTGGCTAGGCCCTCCAGGACCTTGAGATGCTTCTTACGGAGCCACTCCTTAGTTGCCCTGGTTGTGTGTTTCGGGTCGTTGTCATGCTGGAAGACCCAGCCACGACCCATCTTCAATGCTCTTACTGAGGGAAGGAGGTTGTTGGCCAAGATCTCACGATACATGGCCCCATCCATCCTCCCCTCAATACGGTGCAGTCGTCCTGTCCCCTTTGCAGAAAAGCATCCCCAAATAATGATGTTTCCACCTCCATGCTTCACGGTTGGGATGGTGTTCTTGGGGTTGTACTCATCCTTCTTCTTCCTCCAAACACGGCGAGTGGAGTTTAGACCAAAAAGCTATATTTTTGTCTCATCAGACCACATGACCTTCTCCCATTCCTCCTCTGGATCATCCAGATGGTCATTGGCAAACTTCAGACGAGCCTGGACATGCGCTGGCTTGAGCAGGGGGACCTTGCGTGCGCTGCAGGATTTTAATCCATGACGGCGTAGTGTGTTACTAATGGTTTTCTTTGAGACTGTGGTCCCAGCTCTCTTCAGGTCATTGACCAGGTCCTGCCGTGTAGTTCTGGGCTGATCCCTCACCTTCCTCATGATCATTGATGCCCCACGAGGTGAGATCTTGCATGGAGCCCCAGACCGAGGGTGATTGACCGTCATCTTGAACTTCTTCCATTTTCTAATAATTGCGCCAACAGTTGTTGCCTTCTCACCAAGCTGCTTGCCTATTGTCCTGTAGCCCATCCCAGCCTTGTGCAGGTCTACAATTTTATCCCTGATGTCCTTACACAGCTCTCTGGTCTTGGCCATTGTGGAGAGGTTGGAGTCTGTTTGATTGAGTGTGTGGACAGGTGTCTTTTTATACAGGTATCGAGTTCAAACAGGTGCAGTTAATACAGGTAATGAGTGGAGAACAAGAGGGCTTCTTAAAGAAAAACTAACAGGTCTGTGAGAGCCGGAATTCTTACTGGTTGGTAGGTGATCAATTATGTCATGCAATAAAATGCAAATTAATTACTTAAAAATCATACAATATGATTTTCTGGATTTTTGTTTTAGATTCCGTCTCTCACGGTTGAAGTGTACCTATGATAAAAATTACAGACCTCTACATGCTTTGTAAGTAGGAAAACCTGCAAAATCGGCAGTGTATCAAATACTTGTTCTCCCCACTGTATATATGTATATATGTATATATATGTATGTATGTGTATATATGTATGTGTAAATATATACATGTATGTGTAAATATATACATATACAGTGGGGAAAAAAAGTATTTAGTCAGCCACCAATTGTGCAAGTTCTCCCACTTAAAAAGATGAGAGAGGCCTGTAATTTTCATCATAGGTACACGTCAACTATGACAGACAAAATGAGAAAAAATAATCCAGAAAATCACATTGTAGGATTTTTAATGAATTTATTTGCAAATGATGGTGGAAAATAAGTATTTGGTCAATAACAAAAGTTTCTCAATACTTTGTTATATACCCTTTGTTGGCAATGACACAGGTCAAACGTTTTCTGTAAGTCTTCACAAGGTTTTCACACACTGTTGCTGGTATTTTGGCCCATTCCTCCATGCAGATCTCCTCTAGAGCAGTGATGTTTTGGGGCTGTCGCTGGGCAACACGGACTTTCAACTCCCTCCAAAGATTTTCTATGGGGTTAAGATCTGGAGACTGGCTAGGCCACTCCAGGACCTTGAAATGCTTCTTACGAAGCCACTCCTTCGTTGCCCGGGCGGTGTGTTTGGGATCATTGTCATGCTGAAAGACCCAGCCACGTTTCATCTTCAATACCCTTGCTGATGGAAGGAGGTTTTCACTCAAAATCTCACGATACATGGCCCCATTCATTCTTTCCTTTACACGGATCAGTCGTCCTGGTCCCTATGCAGAAAAACAGCCCCAAAGCATGATGTTTCCACCCCCATGCTTCACAGTAGGTATGGTGTTCTTTGGATGCAACTCAGCATTCTTTGTCCTCCAAACACGACAAGTTGAGTTTTTACCAAAAAGTTCTATTTTGGTTTCATCTGACCATATGACATTCTCCCAATCCTCTTCTGGATCATCCAAATTCACTCTAGCAAACTTCAGACGGGCCTGGACATGTACTGGCTTAAGCAGGGGGATACGTCTGCACTGCAGGATTTGAGTCCCTGGCGGCGTAGTGTGTTTCTGATGGTAGGCTTTGTTACTTTGGTCCCAGCTCTCTGCAAGTCATTCACTAGGTCCCCCCGTGTTGTTCTGGGATTTTTGCTCACCGTTCTTGTGATCATTTTGACCCCATGGGGTGAGATCTTGCGTGGAGCCCCAGATCGAGGGAGATTATCAGTGGTCTTGTATGTCTTCCATTTCCTAATAATTGCTCCCACAGTTGATTTCTTCAAACCAAGCTGCTTACCTATTGCAGATTCAGTCTTTCCAGCCTGGTGCAGGTCTACAATTTTGTTTCTGGTGTCCTTTGACAGCTCTTTGGTCTTGGCCATAGTGGAGTTTGGAGTGTGACTGTTTGAGGTTGTGGACAGGTGTCTTTTATACTGATAACAAGTTCAAACAGGTGCCATTAATACAGGTAACGAGTGGAGGACAGAGGAGCCTCTTAAAGAAGAAGTTACAGGTCTGTGAGAGCCAGAAATCTTGCTTGTTTGTAGGTGACCAAATACTTATTTTCCACCATAATTTGCAAATAAATTCATAAAAAATCCTACAATGTGATTTTCTGGATTTTTTTTTCTCAATTTGTCTGTCATAGTTGACGTGTACCTATGATGAACATTACAGGTTTCTCTCATCTTTTTAAGTGGGAGAACTTGCACAATTGGTGGCTGACTAAATACTTTTTTTCCCCACTGTATGTGCAAATATATACACATGTATATTTATATATACACATATACACAAATGTGTGTGTGTGTGTATATATGTATATTTATATATACATATATACACAAATGTGTGTGTGTGTGTATATGTATATATATGTATGTACAGTTGAAGTTGGAAGTTTACATATACCTCAGCCAAATACATTTAAACTCAGTTTTTCACAATTCCTGACATTTAATCCTAGTAAAAGTTCCCTGTCTTAGGTCAGTTAGGATCACCACTTTATTTTAAGAATGTGAAATGTGAGAATTTTTTTTTTTTTTTTTTTTTTTTAGTAGAGATTTATTTCAGCTTTTATTTCTTTCATCACATTCCCAGTGGGTCCGAAGTTTACATTCACTCAATTAGTATTTGGTAGCGTTGCCTTTAATTTGTTTAACTTGGGTCAAATGTTTCGGGTAGCAATCCACAAGCTTCCCACAATAAGTTGGGTGAATTTTGGCCCATTCCTCCTGACAGAGCTGGTGTAACTGAGTCAGGTTTGTAGGCCTCCTTGCTCGCACACGCCTTTTCAGTTCTGCCCACACATTTTCTATAGGATTGAGGTCAGGGCTTTGTGATGGCCACTCCAATACCTTGACTTTGTTGTCCTTAAGCCATTTTGCCACAACTTTGGAAGTATGCTTGGGGTCATTGTCCATTTGGAAGACCCATTTGCGACCAAGCTTTAACTTCCTGACTGATGTCTTGAGATGTTGCTTCAATATAGCCACATCATTTTCCTTCCTCATTATGCCATCTATTTTGTGAAGTGCACCTGTTCCTCCTGCAGCAAAGCACCCCCACAGCATGATGCTGCCACCCCCATGCTTCACGGTTGGGATGGTGTTCTTCGGCTTGCAAGCAACCCCCTTTTTCCTCCAAACATAACGATGGTCATTATGGCCAAACAGTTCTATTTTTGCTTCATCAGACCAGAGGACATTTCTCCAAAAAGTAAGATCTTTGTCCCCATGTGCAGTTGTAAACCGTAGTCTGGCTTTTTTATGCCGTTTTTGGAGCAGTTGCTTCTTCCTTGCTGAGCAGCCTTTCAGGTTATGTCGATATAGGTCTCGTTTTACTGTGGATATACATACTTTTGTACCTGTTTCCTCCATCATCTTCACAAGGTCCTTTGCTGTTGTTCTGGGATTGATTTGCACTTTTTTAGCACCAAAGTACGTTCATCTCTAGGAGACAGAACGCGTCTCCTTCCTGAGCAGTATGACGGCTGCGTGGTCCTATGGTGTTTATACTTGCGTACTATTGTTTGTACAGATGAACGTGGTACCTTCAGGGATTTAGAAATTGCTCCCAAGGATGAACCAGACTTGTGGAGGTCTGATGGCTGGTTTATTTTGATTTTCCCATGATGTCAAGCAAAGAGGCACTTAGTTTGAAGGTAGGCCTTGAAATACATCCACAGGTATACCTCCAATTGACTCAAATGACGTCAGAAGCTTCTAAAGCCATGACATCATTTTCTGGAATTTTCCAAGCACAGTCAACTTAGTGTATGTAAACTTCTGATCCACTGGAATTGTGATATAGTGAATTATAAGTGAAATCTGTCTGTAAACAATTGTTGGAAAAATTGCACAAAGTAGATGTCTTAACCGACTTGCCAAAACTATAATTTGTTAACAAGAAATTTGTGGAGTGGTTAAAAAATGAGTTCTAATTAAATATAGTCATTGACAAGGTTAGAAATAATGATTTTTTTAATAGAAATAATAATTGTGTCCTTCAAACTTTGCTTTTGTCAAAGAATCCTCCATTTGCAGCAATTGCAGCCTTGCAGACCTTTGGCATTCCAGTTGTCAAGGTAATCTGAAGAGATTTAACCCCATGCTTCCTGAAGCACCTCCCACAAGTTTGATTGGCTTGATGGGCACTTCTTACGTACCATACGGTCAAGCTGCTTCCACAACAGCTCAATAGGGTTGAGATCCGGTGACTGTGCTGGCCACTCCATTATAGACAGAATACCTGCTGACTGCTTCTTCCCTAAATAGTTATTGTATAGTTTGGAGCTGTGCTTTGGGTCATTATCCTGTTGTAGGAGGAAATTGGCTCCAATCAAGCGCCGTCCACAGGGTATGGCATGGCGTTGCAAAATGGAGAGATAGCCTTCCCTCTTCAAGATCCCTTTTACCCTGTACAAATCTCTCACTTTACCACCACCAAAGCACCCCAGACCATCACATTGCCTCCACCATGCTTGACAGATGGCATCAAGCACTCCTCCAGCATCTTTTCATTTGGTCTGCGTCTCACAAATGTTCTACTTTGTGATCCGAACACCTCAAACTTCGATTTGTCTGTCTATAACACTTTTTTCCAATCTGCCTCTGTCCAGTGTCTGTGTTCTTTTGCCCATCTTAATATTTTATTTTTATTGGGCAGTCTGAGATATGGCTTTTTCTTTGCAACTCTGCCTAGGTCAGCATCCCGGAGTCGCCTCTTCACTGTTGACGTTGAGACTGGTGTTTTGCGGGTACCAATAAATGAAGCTGCCAGTTGAGGACCTGTGAGGCGTCTGTTTCTCAAACTAGACACTCTAATGTATTTGTCCTCTTGCTCAGTTGTCCAGCAGGGCCTCCCACTCCTCTTTCTATTCTGGTTAGAACCAGTTTGCACTGTTCTGTGAAGGGAGTAGTACACAGCATTGTACGAGATCTTCAGTTTCTTGGAAATTTCTCGCATGGAATAGCCTTCATTTCTCAGAACAAGAATAGACTGATGAGTTTCAGAAGAAAGTTATGTGTTTCTGGCCATATTGATCCTGTAATAGAACCCACAATTGCTGATGCTCCAGATACTCAACTAGTCTCAAGAAGGCCAGTTTTATTTCTGCTATAATCAGCACAACAGTTTTCAGCTGTGCTAACATAATTGCAAAAGGGTTTTCTAATGATCAATTAGCCTTTTAAAATGATAAACTTGGATTAGCAAACACAACGTGCCATTGGAACACAGGACTGATGGTTGCTGATAATGGGCCTTTGTATGCCTATGTAGATATTCCATAAAAAATCAGCCGTTTCCAGCTACAATAGCCATTTACAGCATTAACAATGTCTACACTGTATTTCTGATCAATTTGATGTTATTTTAATGGACAAAACATTTGCTTTTCTTTAGAAAACAAGGTCATTTCTAAGTGATCCCAAACTTTTTAACGGTTGTGTGTGTGTGTGTGTATGTATGTGTGTATATATATGTGTGTGTATATATATATATATATATATATTATATTATATTATATTATATATTATATTATATTGTGCCTTGCAAAAGTATTCATCCCCTTGGCGTTTTTCCTCTTTTGTTGCATTACAACCTGTAATTTTAAATTGATTTTTATTTGGATTTCATGTAATGGACATACACAAAGTAGTCCAAATTGAAGAAGGGGAATGAAAAAAATAACTTGTTTCAAAAAATTCTAAATAATAAATAATGGAAAAGTGGTGCGTGCATATGTATTCACCCCCTTTGCTATGAAGCTCCTAAAATAAGATCTGGTGCAACTAATTACCTTCAGAAGTCACATAATTAGTTAAATAAAGTCTACCGCTGTGCAATCTTAGTGTCACATGATCTCAGTGTATATATACACCTGTTCTGAAAGGCCCCAGAGTCTGCAACACCACTAAGCAAAGGGGCACCACCAAGCAAGCGGCACCATGAAGACCAAGGAGCTCTCCAAACAGGTCAGGGACAAAGTTGTGGAGAAGTACAGATCATGGTTGGGTTATAAAAAAAATATCCGAAACTTTGAACATCCCACGGAGCACCATTTTAAATCCATTATTAAAAAATTTAAAGAATATGGCACCACAACAAACCTGCCAAGAGAGGGCCGCCCACCAAAACTCATGGACCAGGCAAGGAGGGCATTAATCATTGAGGCAACAAAGACACCAAAGATGACCCTACTATAGCTCAGTTGGTAGAGCATGAGGTTGTGGGTTCTATTCCCACAGGGGGCCAGTATGAAAAATGTATGCACTCACTAACTGTAAGTCGCTCTGGAGAAGAGCGTCTGCTAAATGACTAAAATGTAAAAAATGACCCTGAAGGAGCTGCAAAGCTCCACAGCGGAGATTGGCTTATCTGTCCATTGGACCACTTGAAGCCGTACACTCCACAGAGCTGGGCTTTACGGAAGAGTGGCCAGAAAAAAGCCATTGCTTAAAGAAAAAAATAAGCAAACACGTTTGGTGTTCACCAAAAGGCATGTGGGAGACTCCACAAACATATTGAAGAAGGTACTCTGGTCAGATGAGACTAAAATTGAGCTTTTTGGCCATCAAGGAAAATGGTATGTCTGGCGCAAACCCAACACCTCTCATCACCCCGAGAACACCATCCCCACAGTGAAGCATGGTGGTGACAGCATCATGCTGTGGGATGTTTTTCATCGGCAGGGACTGGGAAACTGGTCAGAATTGAAGGAATGATGGATGGTGCTAAATACAGGGAAATTCTTGCGGGAAACCTGGTTGTCTTCCAGAGATTTGAGACTGGAATGGAGGTTCACCTTCTAGCAGGACAATGACCCTAAGCATACTGCTAAAGCAACACTCGAGTGGTTTAAGGGGAAACATTGAAATGTCTTGGAATGGCCTAGTCAAAGCACAGACCTCAATCCAATTGAGAATCTGTGGTATGACTTAAAGATTGCTGTACACCAGCAGATCCTATCCAACTTGAAGGAGCTGGAGCAGTTTTGCCTTGAAGAATGGGCAAAAATGCCAGTGGCTAGAAGTGCCAAGCTTAATTTGTACAAAAGGTGGCTCTACAAAGTATTAACTTTTGGGGGGTGAATAGTTATGCAAGCTCTAGTTTTCTGTTTTTTTGTCTTCTTTCTTGTTTGTTTCACCCCAAAAAATATTTTGCATCTTCAAAGTGGTAGGCATGTTATGTAAATCAAATGATACAAGCCCCCCCAAAATCTATTTTTATTCCAGGTTGTAAGGCAACAAAATAGGAAAAATGCCAAGGGGGGGTGGGGGGGGGTGAATACTTTCGCAAGCCACTGTGTATATGTATGTTGTTTTTGTTTACTTTTTAACTATCTTTCTCCCCAATTTCGTGATATCCAATTGGTAGTTAGTCTTGTCCCATTGCTGCAACTCCCGTAGGGACTCGGGAGAGGCGAAGGTCGAGAGGCATGCGTCCTCCAACACACGACCCTGCCAAGCCACACTGCTTCTTGACACACTGCTCGCTTAACCCAGAAGCCAACCGCACCAATGTGTCGGACGAAACACCGTACAACTGGCGACCGTGTCAGCGTGCATGCGCACGGCCCGCCACCGGAGTCGCTAGAGCGTGATGGGACAAGGACATCCTTGCTGGCCAAACCCTCCCCTAACCCGGACGATGCTGGGCCAATTGTGCGCCGCCTCATTGATCTCCCGGTCGCGGCCGGCTGCGACACAGCCTGGGATCGAACCCGGATCTGTAGTGAAGCCTCAAGCACTGAGATGCAGTGCCTTAGACCGCTGCGCCACTCGGGAGGCCCCCGGGCAGGTGTTATTACACGTGGTCTGCGGTTGTGAGGCCTGTTAGACGTACTGCCAAATTCTCTAAAATGACGTTGTAGGCGGGTTATGGTAGAGAAATTAACATTCAATGCTCTGCTGACAGCTCTGGTGGACATTCTTGCAGTCAGCATGCCAATTGTGTGCTCCCTCAAAATTGAGACATCTGTGACATTGTGTTGTGACTGCAGGTATTTACTTAAATAATAGCAACAAATATTACGTTTTGAAAAATTTCAAATCGTTTTGATGGTATTGAAAAACCATTCCTTGGCTATTTCCAAATACCCCAGTATACAATATACCATCCAAGCCTAGTGAATATACCCCATGTATGGTCTAGGGACAATTTTCCACAGGACTAGGAAAATTCTGCAGCCTAGTTATAAGTTATAGGTGAGGCACAGAGTGGTCAGGTGGTCACAGAGTGGTCCTGGTCAGGTGGTCACAGTCAGGAATAACTCCTGTCCCTAGTGGTGATGCTTGTCCTTCCATCAACCAGGCCAACAACCTGCCCCTAAGGGGAGCTGTCTGCACTCTCTTATTTCCTTATAGAGCGGCTTAGAATAGAGAGTAGAGCGTCTTAGCCTCCCTCCCCTCATTGTAAGCTTTCTGCAGCATTGTCTCAGCGACTGTGTGAGCGCAAGTGTGCGCGTGTGTCAGTGCGGTGAGGGCTGGCCAGGTGCCCCAGTGCCTTTCAGTGGAGTTATTGCGTAAAGGCCCAGTGCAGTCAAACTTGATTTTCTTGTTATTTATATATATTTCCACATTCTGATATTGGAATAATACTGTGAAATTGTGACGATGATGATCATGCCCTTTTAGTTGAAGAGCTGTTTGAAAAGACCGCCTGATATTTCAGCTTGTTTTGCATTGGTGGAGTTTTGGCCCACCTCGTGGTACAAGTTAATAGACCAATAACAGAGTTTCAAACCTCTCTGGCAATAACAGCTACATTTCAGGTTACATATCCCTCCCATTAGGCTCCTCCATTTAGGCCCCTCACTCAGACCGCTCCCAGACAGACCTAGCATAATTCTTGCTTGAGAAATCTCTTTGCCAAGAAGCTATTTTTGTTTCTTTTTTACAATTTTAATTTAAAACAATCACAGTAAGGTACTTAGTTGTTACCCAGAAATGATTTGATATTTATATAAAAACTGCTGCATTGGACCTTTTTTAAAGCACAGTCTGCTGGGCCAAGTGATCCTCCCGCCAGGACAAGAGACGTTCTGTGACTCCCAAAGGACCACACATTAATATTTATGCCCCAAGTATTGGAGTACCGCAGTTGGCAATGAAACAAACACACACACACACCACTCTTGTGTGTGCAGGTAATGAGGCAGTGCACTGGATGAACTCAAAATACAAGAACACACTGACAGTGCTACATTGTGTGTTTGTAGGTGAACGGGCAGTGTGCTGGACACACAGCCATGCAGGCGGCCAGTCAGAACGGTCACGTGGACGTCCTCAAGCTGCTGCTGAAACACAACGTGGACCTGGAGGCTGAGGTTTGTACATCCAACAGTCCCTCCTCAATACTAACATCTATACTGTAGCCCTCACTATAGTCCCTTTTCAATACTTATATATTTAAACCCTCCCCAATACCAAGGTCAATAGTGCGAGGACTGATATCCCTAGACACTTTATCAGGGCTGTTCAATTCCAGTCCTGGAGGGCGAAATGCTTCTTTCTTTGCTTCTTTTATCTGGCAGTTAATTACACTCTGGTGTCCCAGGTCTGAATTAGTCCCTTATTAGGAGAGGATGAACACCAGAAGTGTTTCTTTCCAGGATCGACATTGAACAGCCGTGCTCTAGTGAAACCAATTCCTCTATTTCTTTCATACCCAGTCTATCTATACAGGTCTCAATTCATACTCTTAAAAAGCTGACTGTCAGTCGTAGTTGGATGCTCACTGTGGTGTAAACAGTGGAGACATTGGGTCAGTGTGTCGGTCTGTATATAATATCCCTCCCAGGACAAGGATGGAGACCGGGCGGTGCACCACGCATCCTTCGGAGACGAGGGCTCTGTGATCGAGGTGCTGCAGAGGGGCGGGGCCGACCTGAACGCCAGGAACAAGCGCAGACAGACCCCCCTGCACATCGCTGTCAACAAGGGCCATCTGCAGGTGGTCAAGACCCTGCTGGACTTTGGCTGCCACCCCAGCCTCCAGGTAACCACTATGAACACATGCACACACACCACACACACACACCTCCATTTCACACATGTGAATAATGCACACGTGAATAATACACACTTGTATATTTTGTGAAACAGGACAAATACAATATAAGCATCGATTCTAACCAAAACATTTTGGTGGCTCTGCGATCAAGGGTTTAGGTGAAATGTATTTGTCTCCTTCACATAACCAGTATAGGCCTATATTGTTAGTGATAGCATTTTGATTTGATAATGGTGGTTCCTGCTTGAAGTTGTGGTGACTGTATGTATGTCACCCCCCTACAGGACTCCGAGGGAGACACGCCCCTGCATGATGCCATCAGTAAGAAGAGGGACGACATGCTGTCTGTGCTGCTGGAGGCGGGAGCTGACGTCACCATCACCAATAACAATGGATTCAACGCCCTACACCACGCCGCCCTGCGAGGGAACCCCAGGTACGACCCTGATAATCACCTGACCCTAACTGCCAAGCCAGGGCTAGTGATGAAAAAGATAGAAAAACTTTATTCTTCACACAATGTGGAAATCTGCCTTTGGCGTCACAGGAAACTGGCCTCCATACAGTTAGACTTGTGGTTTGCAAAGTTGAAGATGTGTTTCAAACAGGTTTTATTCTCATTGAGTACAAATTAACAAATTGAATGGTACTGCTGGTAAATGGCTTATGACCACACTTAACTCTTATTGCTTTTGCGGTTGATGAGTTTGTTTCTTTCTGTGCTAGGCTAGCCTACATCCTATCCTACATCCTAAACTATATCCTAGCCTACGTCCTAACCTACATCCTAGTCTACAGCGTACATCCAAGCCTATAGCCTACATCCTAGCCTACAGCCTAATGTCTAGCCTACAGCCTAGCCTACAGCCTAGCCTGCATCCTAGCCTACAGCCTACATCCTAGCCTACATCCTATCCTACATCCAAGCCTATAGCCTGCATCCTAACCTACAGCCTAGCCTACAGCCTACATCCTAGTCTGCAGCCTAGCCTACATCCTAACCTACATCCTATCCTACATCCAACCCTATAGCCTACATCCTAGCCTACAGCCTACATCCCAGCCTACATCCTAGCCTACAGCCTACATCCTAGCCTACATCCTAGCCTACAGCCTATATCCTAGCCTATATCCTAGCCTGCAGCCTACATCCTAGCCTGCAGCCTACATCAGTACAGTCTCAGTCGGTGTCCTCATCCTTGGCCACAGCTATTTCTAACTCCACCTGGTTGCTGCTGCTCCACTCTAGCGATGGGCTATTCTCGTCTCTCATACATACATGAGACACACATTAAGGCTGGTAGCTTAGAGAGAATATAGTACACCGATCAGTTGGAAAATCCTGGGGTTATAGAGGCCACTGTCTCTCTAGACTGTAGTAGTTTACGACACACACACCCACATTAGCAGCTGCCTTTATGGCTGGACTGTAGTTCTGGCTCGTGTTGTGGTGTTGTCGGGTCAGAGCCCGCTAGGGGACATTAGTATCATTCCCCTTAGCTGACACGCATTCTATTGGCACAAGGAAAGAGGGAATTGGGGTCAGAGGGCTCTGGAGCACCTGCTATTTCAGCCAGCCCGGCCCGGCCTGGTCCACTGGCAGTGGCACGCACAGGTGGCTGCAGCAGCAGCATAGTGGAATAACACTGTAACACCCCTCAGTCTTCCTCGCTGCTCTATGGCACTGCCTGCCACTGATTTATAGCCAGTTTGAACAATAATCTGGATTGCAATTCGCTTGCCTTGCTGTGCCGACCTGACTGTTTATTACTGTACAATCCTTGTGGCCTCAGTCAGAGATGCATTGAAGTCTTTTGTAATAATAATAATAATATGCCATTTAGCAGACGCTTTTATCAAAAGCGACTTACAGTCATGCGTGCATACATTTTTGTGTATGGGTGGTCCCGGGGATCGAACCCACTACCCTGGCGTTACAAGCGCCGTGCTCTACCAGCTGAGCTACAGAGGACCACATAATGTCATCATAATGCAGTGATTTCCCCAGTTAATGGCATCAAAAGCTTTTAATTATTTTTAAATAATTGTTGGCCTATTTACTGTATAGGAAATTTGCTTTAAAACGTAAACATTTTCTATCAGGGATTGTCAGCGTAGAATGCAGGAAATTAGCTTTAAAACTGCACAACTTTATCTCCGCCACATGGCAAAATGTGTAGAATTGTGGGGAATTAGCTTTAAAACAGCAACATTCTCTCGCTGAGGCCAAGAGGAGAGACCTAACATTTTGAGTCTGCAACCGCACCATTTGCACGCCCATGACCACGTCCCCGCCACGCCCACCACCTAAGCCCCATTTTTTTTATTTTTAAACTGGTACTGTACATTGCATTCCCTCCATCACTGTTGGAGCTAGGAACACAAGCATTTCGCTACTCCCGCAATAACATCTTCTAAATGTATGTATGTGACCAATAAAATTTGATTTGTTCATCAGTGTGCAACAGTGAGAATCATCAGTCTCATATTGACTGTACAGTAAAGAGTTGAGAAATCGTCCCCGCTTTGAACTGTACCCGTTAAGAGAAAAGTGCTGGTCACGTTTATGAGGACCATGGCCCGTTTGAGGACTCGTGTCCCCGCCTTTCCAAGAGCACTTTTGTCCCCCCCCGTTTAGAGAGAACTCTGTCTCCCCCCCGCCTTTAGAGAGAACTCTGTCCCCCCCCGCCTTTAGAGAGAACTCTGTCCCCCCCGCTTTTAGAGAGAACTCTGTCCCCCCCCCCCCCCCTTTAGAGAGAACTCTGTCCCCCCCCCCCGCCTTTAGAGAGAACTCTGTCCCCCCCGCCTTTAGAGAGAACTCTGTCCCCCCCCGCTTTAGAGAGAACTCTGTCCCCCCCCCGCCGTTTAGAGAGAACTCTGTCCCCCCCCCCCCGCCTTCAGAGAGAACTCTGTCCCCCCCCCCCCGCCTTTAGAGAGAACTCTGTCCCCCCCCCCGCCTTTAGAGAGAACGCTGTCCCCCCCGCCTTCAGAGAAAGGTATGTCACCCTCTTCAATCTAGCCATTTACTTTTATTTCACACTCAAGCTCCTCCGCAATATTGCAGAGAGAGGGAGATAGACTCAAGTCTTAAACCCCTTAAATGACGTCTCCCTGGTTTGGAGGGAAATTACTTATTTTAGTGGTGTTTTAGTTGTGTGTCCCCATCGAGTGCTTGGGACAGGGAGTAGGTTCTGACTGCTGTAGTGAGTCGTATTCCTGAAAGGCACCCTAGGCGGTTGTCAGGAAGACAGAGTTTAGTGGCAGTCAGTGCCGCAGCCAAAATGAAAGGCCTTTCCCTCTAAATGGTACAACACGACTCAAGCTTCTCTTCAGGCTATTTATGTTCAGGTATGGATGAAAACTGCCTGTCACATGATTTTCTTGTTTTATTGATTGTACACAAATATAAATTGCAAGTCTTGTGCATCATCTGGGATCAAATAACCACTCTGACAATCCCTCCATATACAGTAAATAGGCGACCCCTCCGCCATATGATCTGCAGTGTTGTCTTGTCTCTTGCAGTGAGCTTAAGACATCAGATAGTAGTCACGGCAGCCACACTGATCAGAGGCCCTGGTGTGTGTGTGAGACGGGGTTGTGTGTGGTAGGGCCCTCCAGGGGTAAAAGTTGTTGAGGATGAAGGGGGAAACAGAGGAGGATCTGGGGTGGCAGATGATTCTGGCATCTGGCTGTGTGTGTGGTGTGGGGAGTGGAATCCCAAACACCAGCAGGGGCGCCTGCTAATGTGGGAGCTAAACTATACATCACCTCTATGCTTACTCACAAACACCGCGTCAGGGTTTTGTACGTTCTTGTCTGTGTGTGTGTGTGAGAGATGGAAAAAGAGAGCGAAGGATTAACATCGATGAAGAGAGAGGTAGATTGAAAGGATATTGAAATGGTAGTGTCTCCATATAAAGCAGCAGGCTTTGTGAGTCAGTTATTGCATCTTCTTCAGTTAGTGTATAATTTAGGCTACTTGGTAAATAAATTAAACCATTAAATTGTGAATTGAGGGTTAAGCTTGCATATTTTCTTGGTCGTATGTACGTACTGTGTGAGTGTTGTGTATGTCTACATGTTTGTTTAATGCAGCTTCTGGCTCTGATGGGGGACTGGTTCCTCTCAGCAGCTCTGGCTCTGATGGGGGACTGGCTCCTCTCAGCAGCTCTGGCTCTGATGGGGGACTGGTTCCTCTCAGCAGCTCTGGCTCTGATGGGGGACTGGCTCCTCTCAGCAGCTCTGGCTCTGATGGGGGACTGGTTCCTCTCAGCAGCTCTGGCTCTGATGGGGGACTGGTTCCTCTCAGCAGCTCTGGCTCTGATGGGGGACTGGCTCCTCTCAGCAGCTCTGGCTCTGATGGGGGACTGGTTCCTCTCAGCAGCTCTGGCTCTGATGGGGGACTGGCTCCTCTCAGCAGCTCTGGCTCTGATGGGGGACTGGCTCCTCTCAGCAGCTCTGGCTCTGATGGGGGACTGGTTCCTCTCAGCAGCTCTGGCTCTGATGGGGGACTGGCTCCTCTCAGCAGCTCTGTCTGGCTGGAAGGCGCTAGCTTCTACAGCACTGTAAACAATACAAATAATAGCCTGTGACTCATAAACAGTACAATACGGTACGGGGATCCAAACAGAGAAGGCCCTGCAGTGGCAGACCAGACTGCACCGCCACCTTTTTACACTCCTCTCACCCCTTTAATACAGTTTTCAACATCCCCTTTAAGACAGCTCTAAACATCCCCTTTAACGCTACAGTGTGCGATCTGTTCAATGGTCAAGTGGCAGGGACCCGGTTTTGTTGTTTTTCAAATAGCAGAATCTAACTTTAACCCACCAACAAACGGTATAGTAGACACCCTGTATAGTAGTAGTAGTAATTACTTCACCTGCTGGGTTACCAGGCGCACGCACCATTGTGAAAAACAGCCATCAAGGAATCCTCTTGCTAATGTATGGTTCACTCTGCCAGAACTAATAGAGACTAGAGGGAGGAGAAGCGTTGTAACAGGGGTTGTAATTACTGAGAACATAGTGTTACGGGGGCCTGTATAGAAGACTACTGTGAAATGGTTGTGTTGGATGTTTATTTGGTTTCTGGGATGGCTGCTGCTGCAGGGCAGACATTTCTGGAATAAGAGTGAGGGTTTTACCGCCCTGCCCTGACTGAGTCTTGATGATCATCCAGGGGCTTTTTGGCTAACGTTTTGGACGACATGGGTCCCATTTAATGCCTGACGAAAACCAAACACTGCATTCCACAGTAAGAACCTCATACCAACGGTCAAGCATGTTGATGGTTTGGGGATGCTTTGTTGCCTCAGGACCTGGACGACTTGCCTTAATAGAAGGAACCTTGAATTGCTCTGTATCAGAGAATTCTACAGGAGAATGTCAGACCATCAGTCTGTGAGCTGAAGCACAGCTGGGTCATGCAGCAAGACGATGATCCCAAACACACAATCAAGTCTACATGAAAATGGCTGAAAAGCAACACATTTGAAGTTTTGGAATGGCCTAGTCAAAGTCCAAACTTAATCCCAATTGAGATGTTGTGGCAGGACTTGAAACAAGCAGTTCATGCTTTAAAAAAAAAAAAAGCCAAAATTCCTCCACAGCGATGTGAGAGACTGATCAACAACTACAGGAAGCATTTGGTTGCTGTCATTGCAGCTAAAGATGGCACAACCAGTTGAGTGTAAAGGGGCAATTACTTTTTCACACAGGGGAATTGGGTGTTGCATAACTTTGTTAATTAAATAAAATAAGTATTCAATTTATTTTATTTGTCAACTCTGATTCCCTTTATCTAATAGGGTTT